CACATAATTGTTCATGCTCAGAAAAAATATTACATGATTGGGGAAAAACCCTTCCTATATCTTCTGGAGAGGAACTGTATATAAATATAAATATTTAATATTTAGCATGTAGTATTTGAGACAGACCAATTGCCTAAAATGGACTTCATTCCTTGCAATTCTCAGTGCTTGGCTGAGGTTTGAGGGTGCCCAGAGGCAGGTTTCTGCGGGGAGCTGGATGGGCGGGAGAGACCATGGATTGGAAAGAAGGACTGTTCACCTGGATGAGGAGCTGTCGGTTGTAAAGGAAACATCCATACCCCGAGGCTTTCAGTCTAGTAGGTCTACACCACTCAACTGAATCGAGCTTCCAGAGACTTGTAGGACACTTGATACAACCTGCCACATGCTTTATGCCCCTAAAAGTGTTGTGAAAGAGTCGTTCATTATTCAGAAATAGTCTGGTACTAGGTAGAGAGTGGATTATAAAACAAGGTCCCTGCCCTTGGGTACTGGGGAAAGAGTGGATTATAAAACAAAATCACTGCTCTTGGGGACCTCGTGTCCTGGTGAGCGGTAGTTTAGTGCAGACTTGAAGAAGCCCATCCCCCAAGCCAGATGAAAAAACAACAAAAATAGCAAATAACAAATAATCAGCACCGCCAATAGGAAGGGGTCCAAAACAAACTTTACATTTTGAGAAATATTATCTAAAACCAGAACAATTTGGAACAAAGGGAAAAGAATGCCAGGAATCAACATGCTATATACTCTCTTGGGAAAACAGTGTAGTGAGGCTGAAGAAGGCAGAGAAAATTCTGAAAAAAATATTATGCTATGTATTAGTTTGATATGTGGAATTGAAAAAAAGATGAAGTCTCTTATGCTAGGCACTAAAATGGAGCTGGGCAGACATGAAGAGGAGAGGAACAAATTCCTCCTTGAAGATGAACTCTTAAACTCATTAAACACCTGAAATGCATCTGCAAGTCTTCTCAAGGAAGGTAAGATGACCGGGACAGAGACTCCATTCCTGTCACGGTCATCTTCCACATTCCTAAGTTTAATGGCTTGTTTCAACTGACCCTCACCCTGATGATTACCTTGGGCCTGGAATTTGTTAAAAGACGTTCATTCTCTCTTTTTTTTCTTTGCTTTTGTTAGCCATGACTATTAACCTTCCTTTTCCCTTCAACGGCCGGAACACAGTTCAAGTGCTACTTGAATCTGTGCTTCCCAGGCTGCAGTCCTCACAAACACCGAATAAACTCTTTTGTTTTAAGTCTATCAGAGTCTACTTCATAATTATTCGTCAGATATGATGGCAAGTCAACTTGTTTATGACAAAAATGAAATTGTTTTTAAGAGTGAGGTTGTTTTGATCTGAGAATGAAGTTGTTTTTATAAGTAAAGTTGTTTTCATATAAAGAAGCTGCCTTGGGATATTGTCATTGGCCATCTGTGGCTGTCAATAAGCACTCAGTAGCTCAGCTGCTGAGGGGTCTTATGGGTAAGAACATATGAAGAAACAACCACAAGAAGGAGACTTTTAGACAATGAATACTGAAACTTTGTGAGGAATATTCGATCGTGTGCTGTCTGGACAAGGCTACCCTTTGCTATCGAAGTAGCTCTTTGAAGACTTTTGGGGCATTAGCTCCTGCTGTGGTAAAGGTGACTTTTACCAGCAGTGGTGGAAGCTGTGTAGTGGCCCAATGAAGAAGATCAGCCTGCGCATCAACGCCAGCACCCTCCTTCCTTAGCAACATGCTCGACAGCAAGGGACTTATTTTGCACTAGCAGCAGGACGTCAGCTCTCAGTTGGCAAAGCCGTCTCTCCCCAGAACCAACTCCTAGAAAAGGTACACCTCAACTAAATTTGGACTTCATTCCTTTCATCTCCCCTTGCCTGGAACTATAGTGTGATTAATCTATCATTGGTTTGGCATACATTATTTCTTTATTGGCTTACTAAGAGACATTACCCTGTATGCTATTGGCTTGTGAAACTATTATAATTCCCACAGTGAACCTGTGTTAAATAAACTATCAGCAGGGGCCAGCCTGGTGGTGTAGTAGTTAAGTTAGAGGGCTCTGCTTCAGCGGCCCAGGATGTACTGGTTCGGATCCCCAGAACAGACGCACACACCAGTCATCAAGCCATGATGTGGAGGCGTCCCACATACAACATAGAGGAAGAGTGGCACATATGTTAGCGCAGGGATAATCTTCCTCCAGCAAAAAGAGGAAGATTGGCAATGGATGTTAGCTCAAGGCCAAATCCTCCTAGCCAAAAAAACAACATATCGACAAAGACAGTCTCAGTTTCTGAGAGTAATTTTCACTGCTCAAAACAAAAGAAACTCTTAACCTTACTTTGAGGGGAGAGCCTGGGCATGTGGCACTCTAAGAGAGAAAAAAGAACACCCCAAGAGGAACCTTCTTCCTTACGATCAGTGGACAGAGACTCACCTGGGGCTAAAGAATCACACAGATTCTGCTCTTTAAAAATTTCTACCAGCAGAAAAAAGGCAAAACGGGTAAAAAGAAAAATGTTTTAAGTGTAATGACCTTGACAACACACATAAGCTTGACCAGAAGGAGGGAGAATAATAGGAGAAACCAAAGCTGGAGGCCAGTGCATCAGATCAGAATGAGAGCCCTTCCAGGGAAAGTATAGACCCCAAGTCAGGGAGTGGCCTTTGCATGAGTTTGGAATGTGTTTTAGGTTAAAAGAACACAGACCTGATATGGCTCCCCAGGCCTGAGTCTCCTTCCTATCCCAGGTTCTCAGGTCTTGGTATCGATGCATGTTTATACCAACAGATTGAAAAAAATTAATTAAGCCTATTTTGCTATAACAAAAATTTTTTTTAAGTAGCTTAAATTCTCATCTGTTAGAGTACTTATTTGTCATAGAAATCAGCCATTTTAGGACTCTTGAAGACTGTAACATCCAAGAAACAATTATTAGTCAGGCATATTTTACTAACTTATCAAAGAGAAAAGATGACATCTCAACCGTATTGGTGTATGTTGCTAACGCTTCATTAATGATGCTTAAATGCAATGATCACTGAGTGAACAAAAATGTGAGAAATTTTCATCTCAAAAGTCATTATTGTTTTAAGTCATCTGTTTGTTTATGGCGACTATTTGTAAACCTATTATTGTACAAAGTCTATTTCTATGGTGCAAAAAGCTGTTTCACATAATTACAAGCAATCTAACAAATGAATCTGAATAGTTTGATGGTATTGTAAACATCCAGTGATTAGTCCTTTTATCAGGCTCATTCCTTCATTGCAGTAAGAAACATAACTGTTCAGAAATACAGACGGAGAGAGGAAACTTTTTAGACCTACAATCACTATCTCCTTCAGAAAACAACAGGTTGGGTTTTTCTACTTATGACTCAATAAAACCAGAATAAGCTGCTTTATTTACTTAATTGGAACCAGGATTCCAGCAGCCAGGTTTTATGATTGGATGGTTTTAATAACTCTCCATTCCACTGCATTGTCAGAGGGTATTCATTTAATTCCATTACTTTTGTGTGCATGAAACCTACACAAGGGAACATTTTCTCTTGTTTTTACACATTTCACTCTTCTGGATGTTGAGAACATTGTTGCTGGTTTTCTATAACCCTCAGTTCTGGCAATTATTAAATCCCAAAGTTAAGGTCAAATCTGAAGCCCCAAGTATTCACTAATTCAAATTAGAGTGTTTTGTGTTCAGGTGGCATCTTATTCTTTAAATTATTATTATTATTAGTGTGTGCATGTGTGTGTGTAAATAGAGCATCCTTTTATATAACTCATCTGAAAATTGGGAGGTTGCTTGGATTTTGAAGATAAGGTTCAAATACTATGAAGTCATAGAAAAGAAGACATCAATGTGTTTGTATTACTATGGAAAGATCTTCAAGACATACTGTTATAAGTAGGTTGCAAACTCATACTATGGTGTCTTCCTATTTGCATTGGAGTATCTTTTTTTTTTAAATTTTCTTCTTCTTCCCAAAGCCCCCCAGTACATAGTTGTATATTCTAGCTGTGTTTCCTTCTGGCTCTGCTATGTGGGACGCCTCCTCAGCATGCCCTGATGAGCAGTGCTAGATCTGCGCCCAGGATCCAAACCAGCAAAACCCTGGGCCACCAAAGTGGAGCATGCAAACTTAACCACTCAGCTATGGACCAGTCCCTGGGTTGGAGTATCTTTAAAGAATATGAATTCTCTTGTATAAACTACCTGCTTATACCTCCTGGAAGTATATACCCAAAACTGCTACTGGCAAGAGGACTGAAAATCAGCAGTAGGAAGAGGATTTACCTCTCATTACATCTCCTTGGCACCCAATCTCTCAGTTTCTTCCTACCTCTCTCTCTCTGCCCCTTGTCAGTTTCCTTTGCTTGTTCCTCTTACTCTGCTCAAGTTCTAAATTTTGGTAAGCCCCAGGACCTATCTTAAGCTCCCTTTTCTTCTCCACTCTCCATTAACAACCTCATTCAGGACCATGGCTTTCAATAGCCTCAAATGCTGATGAAGTCTTAAGTCAAAATTCTTATTCCTTCTGTCTTCCAGTAAATCTTGAATCAGAGAGCAAATTGGCCACTTACTATCACCACAGGGTTGACTAATGGCATGTCAAACTTAATTTGACTAAAAAACACCCCTGAATTTTTGTTTTTATCTGAGTCCTTTTCAGCTGAATAAATTAAACCACTATTCCCTCAGTTACTTAAGTCAAAATCCAGGAATTATCCTGATTCCTCTTTTTTCGTCATCCCAATATTCAATTTATCAAGAAGTCCCTCCAGCTTTATCTCTAAAACACCCCTCATCCATCCATTTTCCTCTCTCTCTTCAATTACAGTCCATAGCTAAGCAACCAGCGCATCTCACTTGAACTTCTTTTTATAGGACTCCTTGCTTTTGCTCTTGTTTCCCTACAACTCTTTTCCCCCATGGTACCCAGAATGATCAACTTCTTTCCCTTCTTTGCTTAAAATACTCACATGGCTTCACATTGCTCCTAGAACAAATCCATACTTTTTAAACTGGCCAGAAAGTCCTACACCCCAGCCCCTGTCTGCCTCTGTGACCTCATCTCAGGTTGCTCCACCCCTTTTCCACTAAGTTCCATCCACACTGGCTTTCTTTTTGTTCCTCAAGTAGACCAATATGCACCCACCCTTGAACCTTTCCACTAGCTATTCCTTCTACCAAAATTCTTCTTCCCCTTAATCTTTGAAGGGCTTATTTTTTCTTGTCATTCAAACTTATAACAGAGACTGATACTCAGAAGTGGAGTGCTGCCATAACAGAAATGTGGTATTGGCTTAGCAGTGTGATCCCAGGAATAAAGGATACAGACTTTGCAAGCTAAAAATCTGGTAACTCTCGTTATGCCACAGCAAAACTTTTAGTAGCAGTGTCTCCTGTGATCATTTGGAAGGCAAATCATATGCCTATCGTGCCTACAGCTCTAGGGGAAGCAGCTAAAAAAAGCCAGAATGTCACTATGCACCTGCAGCTCCTTGCTACTTTTTGGCAAGTTATTACAAGAAAGAGATGAGATCAGACAAGACTCGGCCACTTTGTAAGATGTAAAAGGATACCGTATCCAGAAATCTGGGGTTTGACAAGGTTGAAAAAACTTAACTGTGTATGCAGTCCTAAACGACAGAAGATAAGACTCTTTTTACTCATAGCCTTTTTCAAAAACCTCACATGAATCCAAACAGGGGAATAAAGCAGCGATTCTCAACTGGGGTAATTTTGCCCCCGGGGACCACTTGGCAATGTCTAGAGACACTTTTGGTTCCTGCAACTGAGAGAGAGTATGCTACTGGCATCTACTGGGTAAAGGCCAGGGATGCTGCTAAATATCCTTCAATGCACAGGACAGCTCCGCACAATAAAGACTTAACTGAGATCTGAAACCATAAAACACCTAGAAGAAAACTTAGGGAAAAAGCTCTTTGACATTGGTTTTGCCAATAATTTCATAAATATGATACCCAAAGCACAAGAAACAAAGCAAAATAAACAAGTTGGACTATGTCGAACTAAAAAATTTCTGCACAGCCAAAGAAATACTCAACAAGACAAAAAGGCAACCTACAGAATGGGAGAAAATATTTGCAAACCGTATATCTGGTAAGGCGTTAATATCCAAAATATATAAGGAACTTATACAACTTAACAACAATAAATACCCAAACAATCCAATTTAAAAAGATGGGTGAAGAACCTGAATTTTTTCAAAGAAGACAGTATTCAAGCAGCAAACTGGTACATGAAAAAATACTCAGCATCACTAATCATCAGGGAAATGCATATCAAAACCACAATGAGGTATCACCTCACACCTGTTAGAATGGCTATCATCAAAAAGACAAGAGATAACAAGTATTGCTGAGGATGTGGAGAAAAAGGAACCCTTGTGCATTGTTGGTGGCAATGTCAATTGGTGCAGCCACTATGGAAAACAGTATGGATGTTCCAGAAAAGAGCTTTGAGTGTGATTACTGGCAATAGATCTGACTGAAACAGAAGGACTAGAAGTCTAAGCTTTCTAAGTTTTTTCAGTTGAGCTCAAAAGCATTCCAGAAGATTACAGACAGTCCTGTACTTATGATGATCCAACGATGTTTTTTCCAACTTTATGATGGTGTGAAAGCAATATGCATTCAGTAGAAACTGTAGTTTGAATTTTGATCTTTTCCTGTGCTAGGGAGATGCAGTACGGTACTGTCTCGGGATGCTGGGCAGTGGCAGTGAGCCGCAGCTCCCAGTCAGCCACGCAACCACGAAGGTAAATAATCGACACACTTACAACCATTCTGTACCCACACAACCACTGTTTTTCACGTTCAGTACAGTATTGAATAAATTACATGAGATGAAGTCAACACTTTAAAATAGGCTTTTTGTTAGATGACTGCCCAACTGTAGGCTAATCTAAGTGTTCTAAGCATGTTTAAGGGAGGCTATGAGGTTCAGTAGGTTAAGTGTGGTGAACGCATTTTCGACTTACAATACTTTCAACTTATGACAGGTTTATTGGACATAACCCCATCATAAGCCAAAGAGGATCCATACTTCAGATTGGTCAAGGGATTGCTTCTTCCATAATACCAGAAGGTAGCTTCAGATTCTGCAAAGTGGGCTTGTGGCAAAAGTAGGACTATTTTCAGCTTATCTCATGCTTAATTAATGAATGGATGCCATCAATGTGACACTGACATAACAGGTATAGAAATAAATGTTTCTTTTAGACGTTTCTTTGAAAAATATTTAAAATATGCAAAGATTTAAATATCTTTCTTCAGAGGTCATTAAAATTCAAAAAGTGTATGTCAATGTATATTACTCTAAGAGCTTATGGGATCTGCCTTTACATCACTCATGGACACAAGGTCTTCTTATTTTGTTTTATAATTCGTTCTTGGTTAGGCTAACGCTATCATGATGCAATGATTTCTAAATTTCTTGCCCCAAATTTATAATTATTAATTTAGAGCTTTTCACATTGCATTTCTTATGAGAGTTAAAACTTTAGGTAAAAGAAGGAATACATATCAATTTAAGATTTATGATGTCAAAAACTTTTTGGAAATTACATTTACTTTTTCACAATCTTTATTCTCATCTAACTTCTTCTTTTCATCTATAACACAGTTAGTGATGGACCCTCTTGATATTAAGGTACAAATGTGAGAAGGATTTAGCCTGACGCCATAGTTCAGAACATAAATGGCTCTTTTGGTTTCTTTGCGTGAATTCCACATGAGAGCTCTAACATGGTACACTGCCTGGAAAAAATAAAAGTGATGAAAAAAGTGGTTAATCTTTAGGTTTAAAAAAAAAAGGGGGATCAAAACAAGCAAAGAAGAGGGCCAGCCCCATGGCCACGTGGTTAAGTTCGCACGCTCTGCTTCGGCAGCCCAGGGTTTCACCAGTTCAAATCCTGGGCTGAGACATGGCACTGCTTACCGGGCCATGCTGAGGTGGCATCCCACATGCCACAACTAGAAGGACCCACAACTAAAAAATATACAACTATGTACCGGGGGACTTTGGGGAGAAAAATGAAAAATAAAATTTAAAAAAATTAGGAAAAAAAAACCAAACAAAGAAGACGTAGAGCAAGCTAGTGCAGCAGAGTTGGAAGAGCCCCAGCCCAGGAGTTCAGAGATCAGGATTTTTGTCCCAAGAGTTCTGTTAATTGACAAGGTTGTACTAATTGTGGTTAAACTTAGATCATGTGAATGGTGTCCCCCAGTGCGGGTGTCATTTACAATCTGATGTCTCTGGAGCTCGCATAACCTTAACCATTCGGTTGCCTGGATCTCAGATTCCTCATCTGCAAAATAAGAGAATGGAAGAGATACCTTTCAGAGTTCTCAAGCTGTAGACTTACAATCATCTTCTCTGGGGGTTTACATTCATTACCTTAATTAGGTCTGCTTACCGTTTCAGAAAACCACATATACCATTTGGTGAAAAATTGTGCAAAATGTTAATACAATATTTGATCAATCCAGTTCGCTGAAAGTGAAGTTTTTTAAGGCACATTTTATGAAGATGATGTGTAGTAGTAAATCAGCTATAGTGTAATATTATTGATTACAATAATTTTTAATGTAAAGTCTTCCTAAATTTCATTCTTATATCCCAAAGTGCACAATTTTCACTGACTTAAAAACTAATCAAGGAGATATACAGTGGCACAGACATACATAAAAACAGGGAAAAGTATTATATCCAAAAAATAGCAAGCAGAGATGATAAAGGAAAGAAACATGGGAATGGTACACATTATTGGTCATTTATTTTGCTATTAAAATTTTTTAAACCTACTGGGTTCAGAATGTCCAAAGAAATAGCTTTGTTAGCATCCTTTGTTGCTTCTCTCATCTGTCCTAAATCAATGTAGAGAACATTGACAGAAGGATATTTTTCCATAGTCTCTCTTTACAATTATTCACCAAGGATAAACTGGATAATAAATGCATACAATATTCTGATTAATATTCATTTTTATGTTGTGTTCAAGATGGTTGTAATTCACTGAAAAAGTACCAAAGGACATGCTGGAATTCCCGCAGATGTATAAAGTAAGACAAGGTTTTTCAAAATGAAAATGAGCCACTGGAGTAATCTAAAAGCAGTTGATGGTAATAAAGGGCCTACCACTTCAAATGGATCAGGAGAGTTGGACACAGCTTGTGTTGGGGGTGAATATCAGCAGATATGAAAGGCAATATTAGAGAAGAAAGTAGAAGATTAATCTGAGTGAAAAACTGGCCTTAATAATTCTTTACTTCTTTGAATAGTAAACTAATAAAATGTTTGAGAAGGCTTTGACAAAGCTTGATAAGACAAAATATAATTGTTTCCTCCTCAAAACTTAGTATTTTAACTGCTTTTATAGACTGAGGATGAAAGTGGAGATTATCAGGGGTTTTTGCCTCCTATGCTAACGTATTAGTTATCTATTGCTGAGAAACAAATTACACAATACAAAGACCCTGCTGGGGCTGACCCGGTGGCACAGCGGTTAAGTGTACTCATTCCACTTTGGTGGCCCAGGGTTCACCAGTTCGGATCCCAGGTGTGGACATGGCACTGCTTGGCAAGCCATGCTGTGGTAGGCATCCCACATATAAAGTAGAGGAAGATGGGCACAGATCTTAGCTCAGGGCCAGTCTTCCTCAGCAAAAAGAGGAGGATTGGCAGCAGATGTTAGCTCAGCACTAATCTTCCTCAAAAAAAAAAAAAAAAAAGAAAAAAGAAAAAAAAAATGACCCTGCCAAGGCTGAGCTCTCATCTGGAGTTGCAACTAGGGAAGTATCCACCACCCCACTCATGTGGTTATTGGAAGCATTCCCTTCCTTGCAGCTAAAGGATTCATGGAGGCTTACTTGTGTAAAAACAGCAAGTGGAGAGAGAGAGAGTCTGCTAGCAAGTCAGAATCTAGTATATCTTAATCGTTAGAGTGACATCCCATCACCTTTGCTATATTCTATTATTTAGAATCAAGTCACAGGTCTTGCAAGAGGAGGTAATTTCCCCAGGAAATTTTCAATCATGAGGGCCACTTTAGAGTCTATTTGACTCAGTCCACCCTCTGGACACCAATGATTCACATCGCTTCCACATGCAAAATGCATTTTCTTCTTCCTAAGATTCCCAAGAGTCTCACTGCATTATTATTTTTTTTTTCTTTTTGAGGAAGATTAGCCCTGAGCTAACATCTGCCACCAATTCTCCTCGTTTTGCTGAGGAAGACTGGCCCTGAGGTAACATCCGTGCCCATCTTCCTCTACTTTATATGTGAGAAGCCTACCACAGCATGGCTTGCCAAGCGGTGCCATGTCCACACCCGGGATCTGAACCAGCGCACCCCAGGCCGCTGTAGGGGAACGTGCAAACTTAACCACTGCATCGCCAGCCAGCCCCTCATTGCATTATAACATAAGCTCAAAGTTCAAACTCTCATCATCTGAATCAGGTCCAGGAGCAGATCAGGCTCCTCAGTGTAATCTGTTAATTACAGCTCCTGAGAAGCATATGTGAACTTGTAAAACTAAAGTTATCTGTCCCAATATATCCAACGTGCAATGGTGGGATAGGTGTAGGAAAACAGCTACAGACATTCCGGTTTATAAAGGTGTAAAATGGAAGGTTAAAAAAAAGTTACCGGTCCATAGTAGTTCAGAAATCAATCCAGCCAGACAAAAAAAGTTGAGAGGTTCTTTATTAAGTTTCAAAGGCTGGAAATAATTCTCCATGGCTCTCAGCACAGTCATCTGGGATCTTTGTTCTGCTTTTTGACTCATCTTTCCTTTTTCATAAATGGTAGCATATGCTACAGCCAAGTAGTTTTTTTTCGAGGAAGATTAGCCCTGAGCTAACATCTGCCAATCCTCCTCTTTTTTCTGAGGAAGACTGGCCCTGAGCTAACATCCATGCCCATTTTCCTCTACTATATATGTGGGATGCCTACCACAGCATGGCTTGCCACACGGTGCCGTGTCCACACCCGGGATCCGAACCAGTGAACCCTGGGCCACCAAAGCGGAATGTGTGCACTTAACCGCTGTGCCACTGGGCCTACCCTGAACAGCCAAGTAGTTTTATCAGCCTACTTCCTGACAGGAGAATGTTGG